TCCCAAGCATGATGTTCTTCTCCAAGGACCGGTCTCTCCTTACAGCATGACCAAAGTATGTCAGACGAAGCCTCAGAATCCTTGCCTCCACCCTCTCTGAATCTGTTTGTTTTCTTAGCAGTCCATGGTACCCTCAAAACTCTTCTCCAACACCAAAGCTCAAAGGCATCAATTCTCCTTCTATCCTCCCTAGTCATTGTCCAACTCTCTGATGCATAACAAGTGATTTCAAAGACCATGGCCTGTACCAGATGCACCTTAGTCTCCAGAGACACACTGTTGCTTTTCAGTACTTTAGAGAGGTCCCTAACGGTAGACTTTCCCATCGCAATATGTCTTTTAATTTACTGGCTGCTGGTGCCAAGAGTGTTGATTGTGGAGCCAAGGAGACTAAAGCTGTGAACAATCTCAATCTCTTCACCATCCAACCTGATGCTGCCAATTGGTCCAGTGGTGAGAATCTTTGTCTTCTTGACATTGAAGGCTGCAGTCCCTGACCTTCAGCAGCAAATGCTTCAGGTCCTCCTCAGTTTCAGCAAGTAGGGTTGTGTCATCTGCATAATGCAGATTGTTGATAGATCTTCTACCAATCCTGATGCCACATTTCTTCTCATAGAGCCCAGCCTCCCGGATGATCTGTTCTGCATACAGGTTGAAAAGGTATGGAGACAGGACACATCCCTGGAGTACGCCCTTCCCAATTTTGAACCATGCAGTGTTTCCTTGCTCTGTTCTGACGACTGCCTTGTGGTTCAAGTATAAGTTTTGCATTAGCATGATCAAGTGTTCTGGGATTCCCATTCTTCTCAGAGTCAGCCACAGTTTGCTATGGTCCACACAGTCAAATGCCTTTGCATTTTCAATGAAGCACAGATAGACATTCCTCTGGTACTCCTTACTTTCAGCCAAGATCCATCTAACATTAGCTACAATATCCCTAGTACCACAACCCCTTCTAAACCCAGCCTGGACTTCTGGCAATTCTCTGCTGATGTGCTGTTCCAGTCGTTTTTGGATAATTGTCAGTAAAATCTTGCTTGCACGTGAAATCAATGATATTGTTCTATAGTTTCCACACTCTGTTGGGTCACCTTTCTTTGGAATGGGAACAAATATAGATCTCTTCTAGTCATTTGGCCAAGTGGTTGTTCTCCAAATTTCTTGGCACAACTTGGTGAGCACATCCAGGGCAACATCTGTTAGCTGAAATATGTCAATTGGTATACCATCTATTCCTGTGGCCTTATTTTTTGCTATTTCCTTCAAAGCAGCTTGGACATCTTCCTTCATCACCATAGGCTCTTGCTCATATGTTGTTTCATTAAATTCTTCTGTGTCTGCCAATTCCTTTCGATACAATGACTCAGCATATTCTTACCATCTTCCTTTGATACCTCCAGAGATGAAAAGGGGAGGAAAAATGGGATTGCTTTCATAGTTAGAAAAGCCATTTCTAGATCCATCTTGAAGTACAATGTTGTGAGTGACAGGATAATATCCGAAGTCCAATGACTACCACTATCATTCAGAGATATGCACCAACAACCAGAGCCAAAGAAGAGGAAATAGAAGATTTCTACCAATTTTTACAGTCGGAGATCGATCGAACATGCAATCAAGATGCATTGATAATAATGGATAACTGGAATGCAAAAGTTGGGAACAGAGAAGAAGAATCAGTAGTCGGAAAACATGGACTCAGGGGCAGAAATGGAGCTGGAGATAGAATGATTGAATTTTGCACAATCAATGACTTATTCATCACAAACAAATTTTTTAAGAGACATAAACACAGGTTATACACATGGATCTCACCTGATGGTATGCATAGGAATCAGATCGATTACATCTGCGGAAAGAACCACTGGAGAAGCTCAATATTGGCTGTGAAAACTAGGCCAGGAGCTGATTGTGGAACAGACCACCAACTTCTCATATGCAAGTTCAAGCTGAAGCTGAGGAAAATTAAACTGAATCCATGAAAACCAAAATATAACTTTGAGTCTATCTCACCTGAAATTCAGAACCATCTCAAGAACAGGTTTGATGCCTTGAACACGAATGAGCAAAGACCAGATGAGCTGTGGGAGGATATCAAGGGTATCATCCAAGAAGAGTACAAACGTTCATTACAAAGACAGAAGAGGAAGAAAAGACAAAGATGGATGTCAGAGGAAATTCTGAATATTGCACTGAAGCACAGAGAAGCCAAAGCACAAGGAAGAATTCAAGATACTTAAGAGCTGAACAGAAGATTTCAAAAGGCAGCACGGGATGACAAAGTAAAACATTACAATGAAATGTGCAAGAAGCTGGAGTCAGAAAACCAAAAGGGTCGAACTTGCTCTGCATTTCTTAAGCTCAAGAAACTGAAGAACAATAAAACAATACTACAATAACAAAAAGAAACCTGGAGAAGTAGAAGACTATCCCTTGATCATGGATAGGAAGACTCAATATTGTGGAAATGACAATACTACCAAAGGCAATTTATACAGTCAATGCATTCCTATATAAATACCAATTCCATTCTTCAATGAGATTCAAACAATCTCCAATTTCATTTAGAATGGAAAGAGACTCCGAATAAGCAAAGCACTCTTTAAAAAGAGAAACAAGGTAGGAGGCATCTCACTCCCTGATGTCAAAACCTACTACGCTGCCACGGTGGTCAAGACAGTGTGGTACTGATAAAATGACAGACACATAGATGAATGGAATAGAATTGAGAACCCAGAAACCAGCCCATCTACCTATGGTCAACTGATTTTTGACAAGGAGATGAAATCAGTTAGGTGGGGAAATGGCAGTCTTTTTAACAAATGGTGTTGGCATAAATGGAAAACCTTCTGCAGAAAACTCAAACAAGATCCACACCCCACAACATACACATAAACCTACTCAAAGTAGATCAAAGACCTAGGACTAAAACCAAGGACTATAAACTTCATTAGAGAAAAACTTGGAAGAACCCTAGAAGCATTAATCCACAACTTGAACAGTCTTCCAATCATTCTGAAAAACCTACAACCAGGAAAGGATAAAATAGGAATGGGAAAAAAAAAAATAGGAATGGGACCATCTAAGAATCAAATCCCTACGCACATCCAAAAATTTCCGCAGGGTAAAAAGGGAAGTCACAGACTGCAAAAACATATTTGGTAATGACATGTCTGATAAGGGACTTATATCTAGAGTTTCTAGAACTTGAGCACCACAACAAGATGAAGGTAAACAACCCAATTGCAAAATAGGCACAGGATATAAACAGACACTTCACCAAAGAAGATATTCAGAAGGCTAACAAGCACATGAAGAAATGTTCAAAATCCCTAGCTCTAAGAGAGACGCAAATCAAAACAACTATGAGATATTATCTCACCCCAGTAAGAACAGGAAAATTTAACAGAGCAGCAAACAACAAATGCTGATGAGGTTGTGGAGAAACTGGAACACTTATTCACTGTTGATGGGAATATAAATGGTGCAATCACTATGGAAGGCAGTATGGCACTTTCTCAAAAAGTTGGAAATAGATATACCATTTGACCTAGCAATTCCACTACTGGAAATAAACCCTAAAGAAACCAGAACTGCCGCCCAAGCAGATACATGCACACCCATGTTTATTGCGGTTTTGTTCACAATAGCAAAGAGTTGGAAACAACCCAAATGTCCATCAATAAATGAATGGGTAGAGAAGGTGTGGTATATTCACACAATGGAATATTATACAGCACTGAAAAACAAGGAACTCATGAAATATACAAAATGGGTGACCATGGAGGACAATATGCTGAGGGAAATATCTCAGTCACAAAAAAAACCAAATACTGAATAATGTCACTGTTATATAACAGGACTGAAATGGGGGTTGGGAGTAAACTAAGAAAAGAAGGGATAAATAATGCACACGACTTTGAAACAGATGCAGGAGAAACTGTAGAAAAAGAATATATGATTAGGTATTATTGGCATGACAAGAGTCCAGAATAAGAGTTGTATATAGTAAAGTGGTCCGGGGTGAGGGGGGAATCTGTATAACAAGGAAAGAAGGTTTTTTCCAAAGAAAAAAGTGAACTGGGTGGGGAGAGAGAATAGGGAGGAAAATGTGCAGCAATTAATGAATGGAAATTGAAACTCTTTATAAACTTTCATTAAAATCTAAAAAAAAATATAATTTCTCTGATGGTTTATGGAAACACATACATGCATGCATGCAAGTTATTTCAATTAAATAATGTTTCAACAGAATACTTAGGTGAAATGAAGCAAAGAAATAATCTCAATTGCTGTTAAGTGTCAATGAATTGGGTCTAACTTATACACAGCAACCTTACTGCACTATAGAACAAAACTTCACCTGGTTCTTGAGCCATCTTCATGATCACTGGTACATTTGAGTCTGTTGTTGCAGCTATTAATCCATTAAGGGATTTGCCTAGTTTTTGTTGACTCTCTACCACATTGATGGATTCTAGCTGTAGTCTTTCTTAATGATATATTCAAATTAAGCGAACCAAATTCTTCCCTTCCTCTCTTCTAAGGAGCACTCTAGTTGTATTTCTTTTTAGACTGACTTGTTCTTTTTTTCCTCTGGCAGCCCACATCCTTCACTAACATCCAGTGTGGGTGTATAAATTCTTCTGTACTCTTCCATTATCCAACTTTTGTATATATTTGGGGTGAATGAAAAAAACCAAGACTTGGATCTTATTTATATACGTCAGTCATTACAATGACATCTTTGCTTTTTAAGGGTCTTTTGCAATCAATTTCCCTAATAATACAATGTTTGATTTCTTTCTCTTGACTGCCTCATCTGTGCACCTTGATTGAAATCCAAGTAAATTCAGTTAGATAAATTGAGGAGAGGATTTTAAAGTGAGTTTTGTATATAAACTTTGTAAGCAAAACATTTTTTTTTTTCGGGCAAATAAACAAGGAAAAGTTTATTCTATTCACCTTTATTAATACATGTGCTAAAATGGGAGGGAGATTTATTTGCCTTTCCGTGCCTTGATTTTCCTCAGGTAGAATTCCAGCTCCTTGCCCTCTAGCACATAACCATCCGCACGGCCACACTGGCCTGGCCGGGAAGCAATACATGCAAGAAGCTTGCCCTGTTGGAACTGCTCCTCTAGAAGACTGCTGATTTTTGCGTTCTTTTTCCTTTCATCGTATTTTTTCTGAGTTCTCTTTGATCGCTTTTTGTTTAAAATCTCTTCCTCCTCAGGAGTCAGCTTAGCCCCCTTCTTGCGACCCAGGGGTAGCGCATAGTGGGACTCATACCACTGGCGGTATGGTGTACTGTCAATGAGCACGATGCAGTTCTTCACAAGGGTCTTGGTTCGGACCAGTTCATTATTGGAGGCGTTGTAGACAACATCAATTATCCTTGTTTTGCGAGTACAACATTCAGAGCCCCAGGAGAAGTTCCCCACATCCAATCTTAGGGCACGGTACTTCTTGTTGCCTCCTCTCACACGAACTGTGTGTATACGTCGGGGGCCAATCTTAGTGTTGGCAGCCGGGCATCCCAGCTCATACTTCCGCTTCTTGTGGTAGGGCTTTCTCTTGCCCCCGGTCTTGCGGCGCTTGTGCCAGTTGTCCCGGGAGATGCCTGTACGTGAGAGCGGAGGCTTGAGCCCTTGGAACTTGGGGCCGGAGGCTCCAAGTTCCAGAACCCACACGAGGGAGGGCCGCACGCTCAGTTCTCCAAGGCAAAACATTTTTTTAAATAACGTAAAATAGAATGTATATGAATGATTGTATGAAATACAATGTAAATGAAAGATTATATAAAACACAATCTATATGAATTGTAAGGGAATTATTAAATGAAAATCAATAAAAATATTTTTTAAAACCCACCTAAGTAGAGGCTCATTAGTGTGTAGAGGCTATGAAAACAGCATTCTAAGGGATAAGAAACATTGTCAAGACTTTCAGATGTGGCGATGAGTTAGGGAGAAGGAGTTGGTGATTATCTTAGCTACAACATAAGTCTATGTAAGAAAAGTCAAGAGAAATAGCCATGCTGAGAGACTACAGTGGAACTGGTAGAAGACTTGGATGACCAGAACGAGACAATGCATCTTCCTATCTAAAAGAAGGGACATGAATAAGAGAAGCAGGATGACAAATTTTTCCTTCTAATTTTTGAGAAAGACAGACATACAATTTTTTTATCATTTGTCTACTATCTCACTAATGAGATTTGTTAGCAACAAGTAAATAAAGAACAAAGATCATAAAGACCTAAACATAATGCCTCCTTTTTTATTCTAAATTTTTCTTTTCCTTTCAACTGTAATTATTTATCTGAATAGACGCTACATTTCACTTAACTAGGTTCTGTTTTGTAGTCGTAGATTGACTCTGCAGAAGTTAACTCAGCCTCATACTTCTCACATCCTTCATTCTATCCACTTCCTTCGTATAACAAAGTTTTAGAGTGAAGCAAAGAAACGTTTACATCAGCTATCTTTCCATTGAACTTTATCAAATGTGGGTGAACATGTTTTAGGAGAGGAAATACCACCTAGAACTACCTCTGGATTTACCAAATCTGCTATAGGGAGCCCATCCAACCCTGGATTGTACTAAATGACTGTAGAGGAGGAAAGTCTAAGGTCAGCTCTGTCTTTACAGACTCATAAGATATTTCCATCTTGGATATTTGCTGAGATTGTCTCTGAAGCAAAAGGAATGGGTGGTCTCTTTCTATAGAATGTTTAAATATCACTATTATTATAGAAAACAAAACATAATATATTCATGTCTTTTTATTTTTATATTTATATTTAAAAGTTGAAATACCAAAAAAAAGAGCTTAAATTTATATAGAAAAAAAGAGATAGAATTGTAAAAGAAAGACTATCCAGTATGTGGGTTACTTTGCTAATTGAGGAAGATTGTGAGGTCTCTTATAAACTAAGAAGTGAGGACAATTCAATTATTTGCCATCTAGTAGGAACCAACTCACAGTTGAGCCTCTATTGAGTTTCTAAGGCTACAAATCACATAGTAGGAAATTTCCTATTTTTCTCCTTGAAACTGTGAAGAACATGGTGTCAATTACCATTTTTAGGCATTTTTATAGGCAGCGAACTAGATTAAAAGACTTCCACAGCTCTGCCTTTAGGTCTGCTTGTCAGTTATCTTAGGATAGGTGACCATAACACATCTTTTCAGAACTTTTTTCTTCCCTGTGGACTGTTAAGAGAACGAAAAAGGTTCATTATGGAGAGGATTAAACCAGGCTGCTCCTCAGAGGCAAGGATTCTGAAGCTTCATCTAACATACTTTGGACATGTTGCAAGGGGGTACCAGCTCTTGGAGAAAGATGTCATGCTTGGGAGGTTGGAGGGACAGTGGAGGAGAGGAAGACCCTCTATAAAGGTGGATTGATTCAGTGACTGGGCTAATAGGGGTAGGTGTGTCCGAGACAGTGAGATTGGTACAGGACAGAGCAGGGTTTAGGGCTGTTGTACATAGGGTCTCTGTAAGTCGCAGGCAACTCGATGGCACATAACAGCAGCAACAACAACAGGGCTACATGCCCTTCTGGCTCCTAAAAACAAAACAAAGTTCCTCTTTGCCTTTCCACTTTAGAAACAGGAGAATTTGAGTAAATAAGGATGCAGTTTATCCAACTTTGATCAATAAATGAAATTTTATGTCCAATTTTAAGATGATTTTCATATCTAAATAAACAAACAACGGTGAATTTCTGTGCTGACATAAGATCAACTCTATAACTGTTTTGTGGTTTACCCACTTTGTGACTTTTTTCAGACTCCATACTCTTTTTTTTTATTTTTTATTTTTGTGTGCGTGTACCGTCAAATCAGATCTGACTCGTACAGGAGGAGATTGTCCCTCCTTTTCCCGGCAGAGCATCTGGTGGATTCGAACCGTGTGCCTCTGGGATTGTAGTTGCAGCTTCTTGCCACTAGGCCACCAGAGCTCCCCTCAGACTCCATACTCTTGTGCTTGGATTGTTCTAGTATTTGGTAGAAAATACTGAATCAGATAAAACATCAGGGATAAACACAGATGTCATGCTTGTATTTATGTGTGTGTATGTATCCAATGGTGAATATTTTTTCATTTTTCTTTCTTTTTTCTATGTAACACTGCTTACATTTTTAGTTTATATTATTAGTGAATCTGTTTAATGTTAACCTTTCCCACTATACAACAAAGTCTATGGAAGGTTTGTGTCTATTTTAGGTACCACTGTATCTGTGGCATAGGTAGTTCTGGTGGCATAGTCGTAGCGAGTTGTGTTGCTGTCCTAAAAACTTTAAGACTCCAGTAGTTTAAATCCACCAGCAGCTCCACAGAGAAAAATACAGACCATCTCCTCTTCTTGACATTTTCAGCCTTGGAAATCTGATTAAGGGTCACTATGCACCTGATCCAAGTCTTGGTGTTTTCAATTGCTTCCTATGTATGTGACATTTGGACACTGAATAGGAATGACAGAAGAAAAACCAAAGCCTTTAAACGGTGATGTTGGAGCAGCATACTGAATATTCTATGCACTGTCAAAAGACAAACCCGTCTGTCACTGAGGAAGTGCAACCAATGTTCTCTTTAGAGGCAAGGATGGGGAAACTTTCTATCACATACTTTGAACATAGTGTCAGAAGGAACTAATCCTCAGAAAGAGAATGTGAAAGGTCTAGTACCAGCAAAAGAGAGGAAGACCTTCAATGACACAGTGACTGTAATGATGGGCTTAAGTATATCAGAAATCATGAGGATGGCACAGGATAGGGCAAGGTTTGATATGAGTGGTAGTTGACTCAATACTTAACAACAAATGAGTCAGAACTGACTTGACAGATGTGAGTTTAAGGTTTGTATATAGCTGCATCACTTAGCATAGAATTTGCATATGGTAGACAATCAATAAATGAAATTTATGTGTGCCTCTGTTCTTATCCACGGACTTGCATAATGAGAAGAAATGCTTGCTTCTCAGGGACTAGAAGGTACCATACTACAACAAGTGGAGAAATCAGAGACACAAAATTTATGATCAGATATCCCCAAGTGAGGCTGGCAGCCCTAGGGTAGATCCCTTGTTTACTGTCTTCTTCCCATCACTGCCTGCATCTTATCATAATACCTGAGGCACAGGCCAGGGAGTAATCCAGGACTGAGGCTGGAAGAACGTAAATCCTGGCTATCATCTTATTCCAGCTGCAGTAGTAGTAGATGTGGCAGGGTTCCAGGCCCACTGACCTGTGGGGCACCGTGGGGGGTTGGTAGCATGAGTCAGAGAGGAATGTGAAGCTGGTTGTTTGAAAGTTTCACTCTGTAGGAGAATCCGGTTCCCCGTGCTGGCATCTCCAAGGGCAGAGCCTAGAAACAACAACTTGAAAAAAGATAGTCTGAGATTCCACACTCTTTTGAATCTCCCATGATGTTGGCACGAGGAAGGTTTTAATGGTAGGAGGCCATCAGACAATTTAAAAGCTGAAAGAATATTTGAGAGATCATCTTCTCCATAGTTTTGCCTCTATTTCAGATAAATGAGAAGATTTCCCTTTTGAAGATTTTCCACTGTTAAATATAGCCTAAGTGACAATATGGAGACCAGGACCAAAGTAGTGGAAACTCTTTGTAAATTCTCCAAGTTATTCTTTCTTCTTTCTCCTTTTGGGAGAGACCCTCAGCCCTGTCACCCCCAATGCTCTGCTTATTCATACAGTATAAACTGGTAGGAGATGTCTACAGGCGCAGAGAGGGCTGACATTCTTGGGTCTTGGTAGAGAGGGGACTTGTGAATCTTGTAAATGTGATGACATCGGCAATGACAGACTCTCTTCAGTCGCCTGGTAGTCTGTAATTGAAGCCAGGAATTCAGCACACGCTCAGACACACCCAGACTTCACTGTGGGTTCCCAGAAGCGGGTTCCTGCATAGCCACTAGGCTGGGAGGACCCTCACTTAAACAGCCTTCCCTAACAAGCTCTAAGGTCTCAAAGCCAAATCCTAAATTCCCAAACCAAGCAATAATTGTATCCCTTCCTCTACTTCCATTCTCCTTAGTGCTCAAATTGTCCTTGCCAGTTGTTCCCAGTTACTAAACTCCCTAGTGACATCTCAGCTCTATGGTAGTATAATGTGAAGTCTTTCTGACATGATTTAATTTGTAATCTTTTTTGCTATAATCAGAGTTTAAAATTTATCAAACCATAAAGCTTCTGCACTACACTGAACCTCCAGGCAAATAAGTTGGGATTTTTTTCTTGCTGTTCTCTACCTCTCCATAATGAGATGCTTTGTTTCCATGAATCGGCCCTGATCCAGACTTCTAGACTCTGTGACAGGACATTTCATCCCTCCCTCTGCCTCCAGGCAGGACTGAATTTAACTCATCCCCATCTGAAAGGTGCCTTCTCTAGACCTTGTTTCAAGATTACCTAAAACTTCAGCCTTTTTCAGTTATACATTCACAGCTGTTTGCTCTTATTGTCTCAATATCATCTGGCAATTTTCAACCCATCTCTTCTCCCTGCAAAAAGGAAGATTCATGTCCTTAGACCTTCCCAGGTAGAAGTGTTCTTTCATAAGGTTTCTCACATACTAATTTGATGTCTATTGGGCTATGTCCCCATTATATGAGGATTGTTGGCCTGAGCTAGTATCTCATGTTTTTGTTATTTTTATTACTGTACCTCTCTAACATCCTCTCTCAATAGATCTTTTTCTT